ATATATAATAATATATATATATATATATATATATATATATATATATATATAGTTCTACTCTTATTTTCAATATGTGTATCGTCATTAAGTATTCTCTTTTTTACAATTGATATTTTTATTAATTATTCACAGAGCTATGAATTTCTGGAATATTGTTGAATCTTTTGGCTATTTAATCACTCGTGATGATTTCTATGCTCCCGACAAAATATTTGATAAATTAGCAATAATTCAGAAATTTAATACAATCAAAAAAATTACGATTCGACAATATTTCAGAAATTCAAGCCGCTGCGATTAATCAATTAACTATAAAGACAATCATAAAAGAAGAGTACATAATTGCAATGCAATAATCAAAAACAAAAGGAGAGCAATGAATTGATTAGATAGTAAAGAATTCCATTTTAAATAAAAAAATTTTAAAAAAGTTTTTGAGATGTACTTTATTTTATACAATTTTGGCTCAAAACTTATGGACTGCACCGTATTATTTATGATTTTACCTTTATATTTAAATTTTTAATCAAACAGGATTAAGAAAGTTATTTTTAGAAAGTTATACTTGTTGTTATTTAAAAAGTAACAAATCATTATAATTTTCATTACTTTTTCATCAAATTTTGAAAATTTTTGTTAAGGTTCGATATACCTATTTCATATCATTATGTGTGCAAAGTAACGACAAAAATAACGAATACATTCGTTACTATTATTTTAAAAATGTAACCGTGTTGTCATTACTAAATTTACTAATAAAAAATATAATATTATTAATAGTTTGTCACTGAGAAAAGGAACCGGTAATGGTAACACCGTTACAAGTAATGCGTTACTTCCAACTCTTAAAATATACAAAATATACAAAATTTGCTGGGCGGAGACATTACATTATATACAAACCGGTGTCAGAAACAATGAACGTTGGATATCACGTAAAAAGATGACGCTAAATGATTTTGCTTTTTATGATTCATCTGACACATGATTACGCCAACATGATTATGTAGATCAAGCTACAAAAATATCGTCGACATTCATCGTATGCGCATTCCATGCGATAAAAGAAACGTGGATGATTAATACTCGAGATTCAAAGCGTGTTATAATTGTGTCACAATTTCGTGCTTATTCAGAGTTGTTACTTTTCAGACGCGTTTCACTTGACATAGTAAACACGTGTTTCAGGTAAAAACAAAGAAAAGGAACAAAGGCATGAAAGACCGACCGGTTTTCTAGATATAAGGAATATCTAGAAAATTTCTTATTACGAAAATTGAAAGTTTTACCTGTGCTTCTAGAATTTGTATTTGTTTTTGCAGATGTTTTATTGTCCAAACTTGAAAGAACAATATACTGTAGAATATGATGGTGAAAAAAACGATGTACACCTTTACAGTCTTGGAAATACGTTGACGTTTCACATTGAGATTTAGGTTTATCTTATTCTCTAAGTTGGTTATTGCATTATTTAACGGAGGCGATGGAGACGATGAAAAAGGTGATGTATCTTCCTGCATCTTTTCATAAATGTTGATCCCTTTTAATCATGAAAAAATTCCTTGCCGGTATGTTATTCTGAATTCAACATGTGTGTCTGAAATATGTTCAAATACAACAAAACATGTAATTATTCTTACATTATTACATAAAAAAATTATTATTACATTTATTAATAGAAATAAACTCAAAAATATAATTCGTTGTGTTATTGTTAATACATTTTTCCATTAATAAGTTTCGTTAAGTTTCATTACGTATGAAACATCAGCTTAACGCAGATGTACTTGATACTCATTTACTATTATTTTGTTCAAATCTACAATCAATCTCATGTTATCTCATTGCTAACAATTTATTTTGTAGCCTATGAGATGGCTAGAAAGACAATACACACACACACACGAGGCACGATAAATATAATTTTGTTATAGCCTTTCTCTCTTTCCTCTTTTATTTTTTTTTTATATCATCTTTATATTGATCGATTATTTAAGTATAAATAAAAGGATAAATAAATAAAATATATGTCATAAACTTTGTGATATGAAAATATTTTTTGATCTTAGTATAAGATGTTTCAGAATTCTGAAAAAGAAAATAAAACAAATAATACAAATATTCCTTTTAGGATTTGAGTCTGCAAATCTTATAGGATCTATCTGGTTATTTACGTGTACTTTTATCGTAATTTATGACATAAAAATAATTTCCAATTTTAAAAAATTAGTTAGGAATTATTTAATAATAGTTTGTTTTAATATTAAGTATAGTTAAAAAATAATGTGTAATACTCGGAAACATCAAATAATTAAATAGTTCAGATTGTTCGAATCTCAAGATCAAATAATTCAAATCTTCTGAATTGAAAGTATGTTCAAAAAATTAGAATTGTTTGAATTTATTACTAATTCAAAAATTCGAAACTCAACAATTTAAACTTAAATTTAAAAAAAAATTCTTAAAACAGTATTTTTTATTTTCAATGCATATTATGTTTCCGAATTATTTAAACTGTCCGAACTTACATATGATGAGTTGATATTATCATTAAATCAATCACTGCTTAAATTCGAACTGTCCGAAATATTCGAATTGATTCTCTTTTTTTTAGCTTTAAATTATTCGTAAATATGTTCGAATCTTTTATTTCAGCCCTAAATATGCCCCTTAATACATTTATCTTGTTTCATTTTAGTTACAAAAAAATTCATCGATAATATGTTAATGACATAACTCTATTAATAACATCTAAACAACATTTTAAATAAATAAGCAAATTTGAATTTTATTCAAAAAAGAGATGATAAAATTATCAAATAAAGATAAAAGTATCGGAGCACAATTGATTTTAAGATGAGATTATGAAGATTATGATAATTGATTTTAAAATGACATATTATGATACGACAAAATTAGAAATACAGGCATTATTCAGTAAAATAAGATCTTCAAAGAATAATTTAAATAAATTTAAAAACAATGGCTTTTGTCACCAATTATGTATTGTTATTTTTAACCGATTTGAAATGTAGCGGCTCAAAGCCGCTAGAATTATATCTTTCTTCTTTACTTATAAGAGCTGAAATGCAAAAAACCCAAAGCATGCATAACATTTTATATACATATGTACAAAGTGTGAAATGATTTTTATATATTTTAATAATATATTTTGAAAATTATATATACAATCAAAAGACATAGAATACCTAATAGACTAGAATTGCTCATTAATATCATGTTAATTTGCGTAACTCAAATCTTCGGACAGCTTATTAATTTTTTTCTTTTTTGCGAGAATAGAGTAGTCAAACTGCAATTATTTATATTAACAAAAGAATATACTTAAATATATATTACAGGAAATCTTGATCGTAGAATGTAAGCGAATTGAATACTATACATTATATACATTTAACATATTGTTATTTAATATAAAATTAATATTTTACACCTGTTAAATACATTTATTTTTTCACTTGTTCTTTATTTATTTTATATTCATATTTTTCTAAAATATTGTACTTAAAGAAAAATTGTCTAAGAGGAAATATTTATAGAATTTTTATTATGTTTTTATCTTTAATATAGTTGTACTTCGGAAAGAAGATCTATTATATTTCATTTGAAAAATAAAGACTTCTTTAAAAAAAAATGAAAAACGAAAAAAATTTTACGGTAAGACATTTTATCCTATCAATTTCTGTGATAAAATATCTTTCAAAAAACATGTCACGCTAGTAGAAGATATGCTAGCGTCTCTTCTCTCTTGTATTTACTATATTTTTGTATGTGGCACATTTTTGTTTATAAATTT